TTGTAAAGAAATTACGGCTTATACCCAGTAAATAAAGATCATGTGCCTGATCTTGTAATTAAAAACAAGTCAGAAATAGACTATTGTCTTAATGACGGACAGATGAATATTCAATCAGTCAGAATTAGGAAGGCCGTATTTTTTTCTCCAGTTCATCGTAATTGTGCCAAGGACCAGTAGCTGCCCGGCAAGCAGTAGATGGCTGGTTAAAAGCCCGCTAGTTCTAAGACTTTTTTCCTGACTTGTTTTAATTACAATATCGAGCACGGGATCATTATTTACTGGGTGCAAGCCGACATTTTTATTTTACAAATTGAAATTACTCCCAGGAAGCCTAACATTCAATGCTAAATATGAACCTTAAAAGAACAAAGGCATGAGTTAATTATCAGGATTGTATATAGAAATAAATATATTTATTTCTATGACTCTATAGAGTCATGCTATAGCATGACTCTTTCTTTGAATATTTCATTAGTGGGAATCAAGAGAGCAGGAAAAGCTAGAAGAAACTCTTCCTTATGGTTATACCTGTCACGATATTACCTAATGTTTACAAGAGAAGTCTTAGAGATAATGTGAGTTTACGCGGATTTACCCAAACTGTTTGAAAGTTTTCAACACGGATGTCGGTTTTTCCAACTCTTACCGCAAACTCTAAAGACTTCTGCAGTTTGCGATCTGCTGACCTCTAACAGATACAAAAACAATTGTATCAATATTGACCACTTTTCACACAGTCCAAATATCTAGTTCATGAACTTTGGTTTACTGATAGCATATCATATTTAGAGTCACAAAGCAAGTTGTAAAGAAGTCCCTCCATGTCATTAAAGAATTTGTTGTACTTGAAAGCATCATGGCTTTTCCGCCTTGACAACAAACTTTAGAAAAAGATTGGACTCAGTCACGGACTATTGATAACACTTAAGATTGTGAAATGATGGACCTACTACTTGAGAAACTAGCACATTCTTCTTTTCCGTCTGCATACTCTATTCATTATACTATTTTATTCCACCCAGATCTTATAAATCCAAATACGAAATAAAAAACGGGTCAACATGGTTAACGTGATATCATACATTTGTATTAATAAATTAGCTTTCTCTTCTTCTTCTGCCTCTTCTTCTTCCACTTCTTTTCGTCTTCCTCTTCTTTTTCTTTCTTCCCTTCTTCACCTTCTCCTACTTATCATTATTATATTATTTTCTTTACTCTTTATTTTATTTTTCTTTTCTTCTCCAATTCACTCTCCTTGTACGTCTCTAGAATCTCATACTATACTACTCCGTTTTCGCCTCCTATAATACCTCCTAAATTCAGACCTGCTACATGTATATTGTGTTACTCAGTACGGGAGCCTATTCACATACAAGCTATGCTTTTTATTTAGGCTCCCCACATTTTACTCTTTTTTTTTTACCATGTCTGTCATTTCTCGAAACTTCGTACTTATTTTCCGTACATTATACTTATTTTGAAATCTTATATTTGTTTGTGTGTGAAATCTATACGCTTGTATATAAAAAAAGAAGAATTTAAACTGTTTTTCAATGTAAAATGTGGAAAAAATAAACTTCACTAAACTTCACAACTTCACTACAGAGTCGTTATCGCCTGTATGATGAGCATCTTTAAAAGTCAACAAAAGAAATACGTACATGTCTATAAAAAATATACTTCCTGCTTGTGCCACTTGTCTCTAAACAAATAAAGATAGATTTTAGAATTCAACTTCCTCTATATAGGACGCAATTAATTTGTAGCAGCTCGGCCATGCTGGTCGGGAAGCCGTAAAGCCGGGGATATCAAAATGGAACGGACAATATCCATCGAAGTCCGTTATATGCACACTATTAATAAATATCGTTGCTTGAATTTGCCTTGTTAATTTAATTTGGCAGGGAGGTGTTAATTTTGAATTTCCTCTTGTTAGATAAATTGAAAAAAATGAAGAAAATTTAAGAAATTGGAAGAACATCGTTTGAGATAATCAGTAAGAAAAAAAATACCCGCACCAGCTTCGGCGACTGTGGATGCCAAAAAGGTTTGGCGGTTGACTGGTCGTTGAAAGAACCTACCCGTTTAAATATTCTGTTGACAATTTATGATTACTATAGATACAGTGTATGATAATCAGAGGAACCTGATTTTTAAAAAAAATCTGATTTTTCTTGCAGAATTTTTCAAATGAACTGTGTCAATTTAAAACGATAGATGACATCAAACGTGGATAACCTTTTTGGATTGTTATGAATAAGCTTAAATTTTATTTTCGATTCATTTATTTGTGAGTCCCTATCGAGATAAAAACAATATTAGATGCATGATGTTTAAAATACAAACATATACAATGAGAATTGGGACTTTGAAGATCATGAAAAGGACAGTTTTCCTCAAGAAAAATACCCTCCTAATTAGTTCTCCCCCTATAACAGATAGTTATTGACGGGTTGAATGAGATTTCAAAAAATAAATATTATCTCGTGTATAAACTATTGTTCCAAAATACAAAACTGCGTTGAACATAAATATTTCTAATTTTACAAACTTGTTCATACTATTATGAAACGAACAAATTAATAGGAGGGTATACTGTTCTTGTGCAAAACAATTCTTATTTTAGAAATGTTACATGACCATTAAATATGATACTTTTGAGGAAATTAAGACAACTCTTAGACAGAAAGGAAAACAAGGTAATATTATTATAAAAGTAGATATTATCATAGATTGAGTTTCTAATCTAGCTTTATTGGACCAGTAAAACTTTATTCAGAAGTTTAGTTATAAGCTACGTACATGATCAAGCGTCAACAATAATTTCGAATCAAAGCTATTATTTACCCCCCCCCCCCCCGCGAATAGTAGGCACCTAAGGTGACTCTATGGAGGGGATAGGGGGTGGGGGTGAGTGTACTCGAAACTTGTAATTCAACTCAACATTCTGTTACAGAGGAGATAATAATATAATAATAGAATACAACCTGAAAGCATGGTTAGTTCGAGCATTACTTTTGATGCCTTTATAATTATGCGATTTGTCATAAGTTTGTATTGTACACTTCGAATGAGTTTGTATAAACCAAGTCTTTTAGTCTTCGAATGAATCTTTATTTAGACTGAGTCTTTACAGATCAAGCGCAAAATGACACAGGCTGTGTACATTATGTTGTATGGACTAATCATGTTTATAGTTACGTAATCACTCATAATGGTGCATGAGTCTATACCATCGACTGTAAAGACAAGTTGAATACTATTTAAACATATTTGTGGCTTACACCCAGTAAAAAGAGAACGATTGATCGATCTGTAATAAATGTTAAAAGTTAAAAGTAATATAAAGTTGAATATTATATGAATAGGAACTTAATAAAAGAAATATTTATCGGACATTATAGCTTGTACATATTTAAAATTCAAAATTCATATTCTCCACATCCAATGGTCCCCAATGAATATTGTATAACTATACAGACTAACAAATACTCCGATGGAATAATTCATTCGATACGAAAAAGAAAAGGTACCATTCCCTACCAAATGTAACTTTAGAATTCCCAAGAATAAATTACTTACAGTTTACATTTTTATCAATAACTATATCTAAAAATTAAAATATTGTACTTGGCATTACCCCATATCTTCTTACATTTACGAACAAACCCTTTAAAAAGCGCTTCATCAATAATTCAAGTCATACAAATATTCAATTTTCCTTTATAAAACGTCTGCTTATGCCAATACTTCACAGGGCTTAAAAATAAATAGAACCCTTATCGTGCAATCTCCCCTAAAACATGGCCAAGTCTAGTCTAGATTTAATTTGCTTTTGTATTAGCATGGAATCCCACTTTCTATGTGTGTAGGAAACAAACTGGGGGACATAACGGCTGTGTTAACTAGATAAGCTATATTTCCGGTTCTGTTAATCACCGTGCCTGAGGTACAAGTCTCCCTTAACAAGTGCGACATGGCGATTAGATATGCTAGTAAAATTCAAAACAGCAGTCTCAATGTACCTAACAACATACAGCGTTAGCAATTTTGTATACAACACGATCATCATGGCTTTCAAGAAATTAACTCAGGACAATTTCAATGTACCCCACTGATGTATTTTCTGTAATAAGTCATTGTAATTCTCTCACGTTTCAATAGGTAATGCACATGCCTATTGAAATGGCATTAGGTTGATTTCTGTAAAAAGTCTTATTATCTTATATAGCTTTGCCATCGTGTTAAGGAATAATCAGTCATGTTTGTACACGACGTGCTTTGTGGACCAAAATTAAGGTGCTATGAAATTACAAGAAATTATTGAGATTATATGCTTGTCGGACGTTCTTCCAATGTAGTAACAACGACCGAGGCAACATTTCTAAGGAAGAACAGTTATTTATATAATGTCAATTATTTGAAACAGCTGAATTTAAATGTCTTGTCATCGACTTGGCAGAGAACAAAACATGACGGAAACAGATCTTTGCACTTGTAATGAACGTTTTATATTCCAAACTGTTGGTTACAATGATTCACATACGTAATAAAAGTCGATTAATATCATAAAAAGCACATGTATAATCAAGTAAATTACCAATTTGTAAAACAAAGAGCTCTATAAATGGAGTATATAAACCTTTGTTCATTAACAGTAACACTCGTAAATTTAGGGATTCTTTTCCCTAATGTGTCTGTTGTGCAAATTCAAATTGGATTAGGCCTATTATCAAAACATGATTAGGCCCTACTTGAAACAATTTACTAACAGTTAGTGTTAATAGCAGGCATTTATGTTACAGCACATTTTCTGTATTCTCCTATACTAGAAATGCTTGTACAAAGCCTTCCCGACATAGCAACAAGCCATGCATATTATGCAATTCCATTCAGTGAATATGTGGACACAAATTATTTTATCTCATCCTTTCTGCAGCTTATTTCTATTTAAAACAAAACAAATAATAGGTCTATGTCTTATATTTTCCACTTACCTCTCGCAATTTTTCTTTAAGTGACATCTGTTTATAAATGGTTCCCTTTTCTCCAATATTAGCATCGTCGCGGTAGTACTGTTCGCCTTTGTTTTGAAAACGTCCTTCATTTGTATCAACACTGTTCTGGGACTGTTCATGATGAGCAGGAGCACAATATATCGATGTGGGTAGGCAGAGGAAAACTGCTAGAATAAGGTATAAATAAAACATCTTGTAGACTGGTTTTAGACCGAATACCATAGCTGAGTCAGTGGTTGAGGCCGTGTGTCCCCGCCCGCGCTCGGGGCAATGTCGCGCTGGATCTCCGGCGGAGTTTAGAACGCTTTCTGGACCGATTTCCATCGCGAAATTCCAGCGTAACTGCTCCGTATTGCTATGCCTGTACTTCAGCGATGTTGCGAGGGTGGAGTTCTAAAGCAAGCAGCTGTAAATGGTTGGCGTTGCCCGCGATGAAATGCGAGATAAGTTCTCTCTCCTGACAGCGACGATTAATGATAGGGATAACGCAATAAATACTCGCTAATAATTAACTATTTTGCTCGGTGGTGTCATATTGATAACGTCACACTAACAAGCCGCTCAGGTACAGGGCGATCCCCGATTACGATATCCCACGGGTAATACACAGATTTATGTGCAGTTACGTTGTCTGCTTCGCTTACATTTTTCCTCTCAAAAATTACTCCTTTCGTTCATGAACAAAATTAAGTCTTTAAAAAATATTCTGTCATATTTCCGTGGTCGATCCGCTGTGATCATGTTTTCATTTTTTTTTCTTTCCATAGGGAATATTATACGATCTCTCCGTTTCAAGCGTATGACAAAAATTGTGACGTCACAGTAGGGAATTCCCGATTGGTTATCAGTTTAGAAAGTTTCGACCAATAGAAAATCAGCTCCGTAACTTTCTAGCCTATATTAAAAAACTGCAGTCATTTGGTGAATTTTGTCCAAGAGATTTCGTTGACAACACAATAGTTCATTGATTTGTTTTCTTTAAAAAAAAATCTTTTTAATTTCCTTTTCTTTTTAAATGCTCTGATGGGCACTGTCCGTAAAACAGAATTTACTTACAACCTGCAATTAAAACAGGGGTCGAATAATAAAGACAAAGGATGTAACTATATATGATATCATCATTTATTTTTAAATGCACCTAATACTAGCAGAAAATATAAACGAAAATGGTAATTACATTTGGTGGTGTTTCTTGTTGGGGGGGGGGGGGGGCTTAAGTTGGGCACATGGGGGAGGGTGTGGTATAGTTCCTATAATCTCCTTCTTCCACTTTCCTTTTCCCATGTCTCTCGTCTCTCACTTTCTCTCTCTCTCTTTCTCTCTCTCTCTTTCTCTCTTATCTCTCTTTCTCTCTTATATATATCTCTCTCTCTTTCTCTCTTATCTCTCTCTCTCTCTTTCTCTCTTATATCTCTCTCTCTCTCTTTCTCTCTTATCTCTCTCTCTCTTTCTCTCTTATATATCTCTCTCTCTCTTTCTCTCACTCTTTCTCTCTTATCTCTCTCTCTCTTTCTCTCTTATATATATCTCTCTCTCTCTCTTTCTCTCTCTCTTTCTCTCTTATCTCTCTCTCTCTCTCTCTCTTTCTCTCTTATATATATATATATCTCTCTCTCTCTTTCTCTCTTATCTCTCCTCTTCTTTTTTTCCAAGTATTCGATGGGACATTGGGTACGTGCCCCTCGTAGCTATACGCCACCAGCGCCTTACTTGCTTTAATGTTAATCTCTGCCTCTTCTCTCTAGCTCTCCATGACTTGGTCACAAATGTAATCATTAACTGTTCATTTCTTAACCAAGATGGGGTCCTTTAAGACAGAACGAACTTGAAAATGACTAAGTAATTCAGAAATGATTCACCAAGAGTGTCATGCCCCCAATTAATTTCTACATTTTAAAAGTCAGATGGTTCTCTTTTCTTTCGTGTTCATTCCATGGCTATTGGCCGAGAATGAATTCGACGACGTGAATACATGTATAAAGACAATAACGCAGCTTTATAATCTTGGATGTTGAGGAGGAGGAGGAGGAGGGGGGGGGGGGGGGGGGGGGGGGGGACTCATCATATTTTTTGGAAAGATTCAATTTAATTCAATTCATGCTTTTTTATTTCAATCCAAACAGATTTTTGTTAAACATTGGATAACAAATTTCAAAATTATAGTGTATCATAGATAATTGAGTGTAAGAGAAAAGATAGCAATAACCAGGAATGACAAAAATTAATATACTACTGCATGTCTCACCTGAAATAATAATAATAATAATAATACAGGCATGAGAATAAAGATGAAACATATTTTGATGACGAACGACAACTCATCACCCTTGATGAAATTGCTTCATTATTATCAAGTCATCGCTAACCGTGAGTAAGTCCGTCCCCAAAGAATGGATTATGGCTTTGATTTTGGTAATTCTTGCTCAATGCCACCACTTAATCAAAACCGCCCTCTTATGACTATTGTCCACCACCCCATTCGGCCTTCGAGGAGCGAGGATGATTTGCCCCTTGCTCGCTGATTAACGCTGAAGACTAATGAAAAGTGACAGGGGGAAGGTATTACTGTCCCAAATCGCCGGGGCTTTATTCTGTTTCTGATTACTTTGGTTCGTTTGTCACAATAGGCGTGCATCCTTTCAAAATCGAATCAATGCTTTCTTCAAGAGCCATCCAACCTTCAGACCTTGGCACATTACATAATGTGGGTTTAATGTCCGTTTCTGAAAACACATTTTGGTCATTTTTCATTTTATGTTTTTAACCATTTACCCCCATCTACCTTTTGTAATCTGTTTTCCTTTTTTTCCCCTTCCTCGATTCTTTCCCCAACACGCCTTTCCTCTTCTACCGTGTTTTAATTTTAATGTGATGGTAGTTAGGATTATAGATTACTGTATAATAATAATAATAATGTTCAATCATTATATGCCGTATATTGTATAATTGTCTCTATGCGCTTAGGGACGAGCGAGAGAAAGGGAGAGAGAGAGAGAGAGAGAGAGAGAGAGAGAGAGAGAGAGAGAGAGAGAGAGAGAGAGAGAGGAAATACATGAAAAATATTGAGCTTTCACCCTCCATCACTTACAATTATCACATCAATTACAAAGTTCACATGTGTACTTAATGTTTTTAAACTGGAATAATTGAAACAGATATGTTTTTAAGTCGGATTTAAACTGATGTCTATGTTCCTAAAGTCCCCAAAGTTTCTTTTTCGTTCTATACATCATTTGCCGCGATTCTTCTTTGGATTGAAGCATTTCAAGTCTTGATGGCTGTATATCTTCAGTAAACCCTTTGCTTTATCATGAAATTCTTAAAAGACTGGACTCATCATGATTTGCCTGGATATGTCTTATAACATTTAATTTACATTAAAAAAAATCTTCGATAATAACAAAAAAGAAAACAAATATACAATCTTAGATACTTCCTTTAAAAATTGTCACTTGCTTCTTTCTTTCTCTCTCTCACTCTCTCTCTCTCTCTCTCTCTCTCTCTTTCTCTTTCACTTGCTCCCTCATCTCTCTTCTTCCCTTCTCTTTTGTTTCACATTGCTCAATAGACTGTATCTCTTTATCCCTTTTCCTGTCTCTCCAATAGCTCCCCTTTCCTCTCTTTCTCTGTGCATCATCTCCCTATACCTTCAATTACTTTCTATATCTGTTCAATATTACTCTCCAACATCTCTCTCTCTCCCTCCCCCCCCTCTCTCTCTCTCTCTCTCTACCTCTCTCTCTCTCTCTCTCTCTTTCTCTCTCTCTATCTCTCTCCCCTCTCTCTCTCTCTCTCTCTGTCTCTCTGTCTCTCTCTGGAGATGATATTGGGCGTCAACTCTTTGACTCTTTCCCCTTCCAGCTTTTGTCAAGTTCACGTTCCAAGCAGCTTTCCAGCTAATCCCCGTCCCACTGCACCAAAAGTGATACGAAAGAGACGAGATCTAGATTTGCAGTCCTGGGCAGCTAGGGGTCGAAGACAAGGAACAAAGGGAGGGGGGGGGGGGGTGGTAGGAGTGGCTCGTATTTCGAAATTAACTCATTACCAAAACTACTTTTCGTCTGTATGTTAGTTCTATAGAGTATGGTCATGGTAGGACTTAAAGACTGCATAAAGACTTAATGCCAATTTATATTAGTTTACAGGAGGGATTAGACCTCCCTGCAAGGTTACTGACAGGTGGTTATCTCATAAAATCAGCTCTCAATTAACATAAGAAAAAGAGGATCATAGGGGACCAATAGTCACCGAGTAGGCATTGCTTGCTATATAGAGGGCGCAAGTCACAGCTATAAGTAGTGTAATGGGGCTTTAAGTGCCGTGTCGGGGATTGAACCCAATGTTTAAAAAATGTCCTCAACTGAGGTAGCCAGACCAGTGGAGCAATTAGACGTAGTCTTAGTGGAACAGCCATCGATACACTGAGACTGATTTTTTGTTAGAGCTAGCTACGCCCCAGCTTGAGGCTGGTGTGACGTCACCGTTGAGTTATGAGATCTCATTATTATTGGTTCCATATTGAGTTTATCAGTCAAACCTCTGACATCACCCAGAAGATAAGAGAGATACTATTGTCCTCTTGTTAGTAAAATCTAGTTGATGCGTTGTGACTTGAACCGGATCGGATAGCCGTAGGATATGTCTTTAACAGTGACTTCACCGATTCTTCAATTAAATGTATCTCTGTCTGCTACCCCCTTACTACCGGCACGTTACAGCGATGAGATCTTTATGCGGCTGAAGAATTCCATCCAAAGATAAATTGCTTGTTGTTGTTGTGTCATGTTTGAGACGACTCTCCCTCTCTCACGGTTTCTCATCCTCCCTAATCACATTCTTTCTCCATGTCTCTTTCTCTATAATGTTCTCTCCATCTCTCTCACTCTCTTTCTTTCTTTCCCCTCCCTGGCTCCGTCTCTCACGCTTTCTCTACATGAAAATCACACCAAAGGCGTTTGAAAATCTAAACATCATACTTATCTTCAAAGATATATGTTTAAAAACCCAGTCCAAATGTATAAGAATCAAGATTGTATCTGATTACCATCATGGTAAAGAATAAGATTCCTTTGAATTTTTGTCTTGAATTAGGATAATACATTTACCTATGATTTTGAGGTATTCTATATCGCTGTACAAATTAAACTACTTTTCAATTATAAATCGTCGATCAGTTTTCTAAGGACTTTTCAGGGATGTAAACAAGTACAAAAGTATCTAGACTAAGATTTCTATCTTTGTTTTTAATAATCATTATTGCATTTATTACTAGTTACTGACAGCAATGGAAAACAGAATCAATATCGACATGATTATACAAAGAAATGTAAGGAAACATTAATTCACACAGTATTAGTTCATATAAAAAGAGGGTTAAGAGGAACTGAAAGACAATATTTTCATGTGATCAATTTGAACGATCACAAAATGTATCATGTAAAAAAGGGACCTCCTAACTCATAAATACTAAGAATGAAACAACTTATGCTTAACAGATTAAGGAGAACTCAAATCTAATCAAATCAAATTCCCTGGAATTTCTGTCAGACTGCACAGCATTATAACCCGAGTAAGTAAAAACAAAATCCTGAAGCATAATTTTTGAATTCCTGATGTTTTCACTCTTTTGTATCGCCATGATCTCTTCTAAGTCTAAGAGGGTTTTTCTAATCATAGTATTTAGTACTGGCTAGATTTGAATAAAACCCTGTTTTCCTAACAATAATCATATCTATTGTGAATCAATATCATAATGAGCAAAAACAATGAGCAATGTATATGATAATATGATTTCACTAAATTGTGTGAATTATGCGATTCTTTTAGTTAAGGTATGAATAATATGGGAGAAGGGGTAACAAACACTATGAACATGTCTGACAAAGAGAGCGGACAAAATATACAGTTCCTCAGGTAGACAAAGGAACATCCCTTCACTGCTATTATGTAAAAATGTGTAGAACAGGTGTCACATGCATATTCACCTTTGTACATAATAGCAGTGAAGGGATGTTCCTTTGTCTACCTGAGGAACTGTATATTTTGTCCGCTTTCTTTGTCAGTCATATTTATAGTGATAGTGCAAAAATATAATAAAATGCATGTAGTTATACAGACATTGTAGAAGGACAATGTACAATGATCTTTCTATTTCAGAGTTTAAAATGAAACACAATTATTTGTACTCTAGTGAACAGAATCAACATTAATAATAATAAGCAAATAATAGTAGAATTTATACAGTGCTTCAAAATAATATCTGTAAGTGCTGAACTACTATTACCTGATCTATTATCAATATAATTCAAAAGATGGCATGATAAAAAATAATCATTACATGTACGTACTATATGAGAAAATAATCTGTTTAAAAGAAATTAAAAAAGTATAATGTGAAAGCAATAAGATGGATGAAAAGCAAATTCCAAGATAAGGTAAGTTTCAAAAGGCACAGATCTCCATGTGAACGTAAGTGAATGAATGAGTAAAATGTTCACCGCTCTGTCAATTGAAAAATAAATTTTACCATTCCAACTGATAGAATACTCCCCTTAAGTATGCCATTTTCATTAATCCATTTAAGAGAGAGAACTGTCCACTTTAGCATCTGAGAATCTCAATAAGCTATCACCCATCTCATCTACCCTATACTGGTTCTATAGAGATAAATATTTTCATGTGTATAAATGTAAAAACACACATACAGTGTAAGCCAAGGAGCACTTGTTGATTTCACCTATTTTAACCTGACATAATATTTTTTCTTCATGGCAGTCTCTTTAGGCAGTCCACTGTGAAGGGTAAATGAGATGTTAACAATATAATTTAAAAACATGAAGAAAAAAAAATAAATAATAACACACTTGATATACATGTACATGTAAAAAGAGTGGAATATCTCTTCAAAATGAGTAAATTGTGTACAAAGTAAAAAGCCTTTTGCTCTAACAATCAAAGGCACATAAATATGAAAAAAGTTAATGACAAACAAAGAAAATATAAAAAGACAGGAATGGTAATGTAAGGAAAACTGTGATGAAAAGGAGAAGGGACGGGAACAAGTCGAGAAAAAGGTAGAGCAAATTTAAGAAAAAAGGAGAAAAAGAAATGAAAGTATGGATGAAAAGAAAAGCAGAATATTGAAAGAATGAAAAATAGAGTATCAGTGACACTATATGAATTCAATTACGATTACATAACACATCCAACATGGAGGGCAATATCAAGAATTGGTAATTGTCTTTTGAGATAGATATATCATGGTGACGTTTGACTTCTTTAATTGGTAAATTTTATAATAATCATCTGCAACTTAAAATGTGACATATAATGATGATATAAATAAATCAATAATTCAATGAATGACTACATAACTAAATATAGATAAAAACCATTTTGACTGATTATCAAGATTGACATATGAAAATAAGTTTATTCTTTGGACCCAGTCCTAGTTAGTTAGCAAGAACCATGGTGAATAAATGCTCCATAATCTCTGCAAGAGTAAACAGTTAAAATAAATCTCTAATTGGGGATTGAATTTGCATTCAAACTTGGATACCTCTGTTGTAAAACTAAGGAGAAGTTGAGAACAAAACAAAAACAAAACCGAGATGTTTTATCATAACTTAATCATGATTATAATTAATAAATTACACATATTTGTAAAGCTTAGGTCCTCCTCTTTTATATGATGCATATTTAACGCATGAGTGATTCAAATCAATTTGAAGAAAGGGTACCAAAAAGTCATTTGGCGGACGGTATCTGAATTTCAAACAGAAAAATCACATTTCAAGGAAGTATATTTTCTGCCCTTTCATATGACACCTCAATCAGGATAAATGAGCCAGGAATAACAAAGTTCTGTTTGTTTAAAGCAATGCTTGCATTTCCATAATTTCATTAAACAAATTTGTTTTCACTGCCTACCTGCTGTAGCAACAAACAGAATTGACAAAAGACTTAATTCCGTTTCGTTGAAGATCAGCCATAGACGAAAGACCTTCATGCATGGCAGATTGTTAACGAAACGGCTGCCAAATGACTTTTTGGTACCCTCTCTTCAAATTGATTGTAATCACTCATGCATGAAATATGCATCATGTGAGTTGCATTAAATGAAAGAGGAGGATCTAAGCTTTACAAACATGTGTCATTCATTAATTATAATTGTGATCAAGTTATGATAAAACGTCAATAATTTTCGGTTTCTTTTTTCCTGGGACGTACTGTACACAATGGACTATTGTACATACAGAATCTTTCACCTCACAAATTGTGTATGCTTGCCATTTTCATAGACACAAACTTTTGCAAATGGCCAAATTACATCAGCTGTGATTTACAGTATTTGCAGCATGAAATTTCCTTGAATATGAAATGCTATCAAAATTTGCGAAAATTCTGATTTACAGTACATCCGCAGCACACTACACGCAGATATATATGAACATGTCACCCGTTATGGGTAAGTCAATGTGAGGTGGATATCTACAAAAATGGCTTGGAACTTATCTTAGAGGGCAGCGCACAATAAATTAAGTCAGCTTAGCAAAATTGGAAATGAAATGACATGCAAAACCCTGCAGCTTTGTTTTATTAAACAAGGGACCACATTTCACCAATTAACTGTCATCTTCCATTCTATGGGATATGGGGGATGTTTCACAAAGATCCTAAGTTGAACTTATCTCTAAGTTGTCATTAAGAATTATGGAAAGCCGTTAACATCTATGAAAATATTTTGTAAAAGTTATTTTAAAAGCCATAAAATGTTGATTCAAAACATCCATATTTTCTATTATCAAGGAGATTTCATGTTCTTCATGGGGAATTTATAAAAAGTCTAAAATACTTGAATTTTCACTTTTAAATATATTTCATTTTAAGGCTACAAATGGCTCTCTAAAATGTTTAAGTCCAACTGAGAGTTAAGTTCGACTTAAATCTTTGTGAAACACCCCCCTGGTCATTTGAGGCAGGCATGCATATGATATTACAATTGACACTTTCATCTGTGCATACGTTTACCTGTACCTGTCCAAAACTATACACAATCCCTGCATAATAATCAGCTACAAGTTTGTGCGTAAGTAGTTTAATAGTTAAATGACCATCTTCTCAAAGTTTGCAGTTAACAATGGTAAAACTTACAGACATCAAATGCTTTGGAAATTGCTGTTACAGTGACTGCATTTGTACATACAGGCATCGTTTCATGAAACTGTTATAAGTACACATTCACCGACATCCGATTGTAACACGTGTTGATAAACGCATTCGAATGGCTGGTCGGCGAACTTGTACTTATGATGACGTTTTCATGAAACGCTGACATGGTGTACAAACATACAATGTACTTTACAAATACACAAGCAGCAAATCATTGCAGACATTCATGGAAGTTAAGATTGAAGCATAGGGCTGTACAAGCATCATTGATCCCGGTTTCTGATTAGTTTTCCCAGCTCTTCTAAAATGGATTCCAAGATCGGGTTTCCGCCTAAATTTGATATATGCTCATATGCCCTGGAAAGAAAGAGAGAAAGAATGAAAGAAAAATAAATAAGGAACACATGACATTAACATCAAAATAACACTAAAAGTAACATTTATATAGTGCTAAGTACTAATGTTTCCAAGTGTACGATATCATCATCATTATGAGGCCGCCATCCATCTCCAGCCTAACCGCTCACGATTACCTCTCTAATGTATTAATAAATATTTACTATATATTTCTTATCTTATATGTACGCTTCGTATATGTTTATTATATGATATAATTGTACATGATTTTCTATTAATTACTTTTGTAAACATTTTATTCATTGTATTTGTTATTGTTCAAATTTTTGTTCTTTGAATTTAAATTTGTATCTTTTTGAACGCAGAAATAAAATCAATCAATCAATCAATTCTGGCTTTAGCCAAGCTACCCTGACAAGGCAGTCTGGCATTCAAAGAATTTCTTCACACCAGGTACCCATTTACATCACATGGGTGGGTGTTCATTACTGTGTTGCCAAAGGATTTGAGTGCCACAGCAAGATATCCGCCCCTGTACCTTGTAATCTACAGTCCAGTGATTTATCCACTAGACCACAACAATTCTACACAGACAGAACTATCTGGGCCATATTGGAGCCTATAATATATTGTTTAAAGCCATGACAGTTTTTACAGGAGTGTGAACATAATTAAAAAATTGCCAGCAATAATGGTGGCCTGTTATAAAGCACTTAATTCTGTCAAGCTTGATGCTCATTGCGCTATACATACATATAAGAGAATGCAACTTAAAACTTATTGAAACAGAAAGCATTAGAGACAGATCTGCTACAAACTTTAACACAATTATGAAGAATACTTGAATACTTACTGCTTTTCTAGATCGAAGAGTACCTTTCTTGTGTATTCAAATGAACCAAACTGCATTGGAAAACAAAACAAAGAAAGTGTGAATGCTAATAATATCCATCCAAACAAAACAAGATATCAAGTAACAACATTGGTATGAGATCTTCTACTACACATGAAAGATGAGATCATCTGTTCAAGATTTGTATGCAACACACATTATAGCAGTGCCTTGCCAATATCATTCCCGTTTCACTTCTCTTCAAAATCTTTGCTAAATATGCATTTTCTCTTTGTACCAGTGTTACATGGTCATCACATTCATATATTATTACATAAACTTTGGGTCTATAATATCGATTCACAATGAAATTAGAGAACTTCTTACTTTTAAGCATAGTTTGCTTTGCTTCTTATGCTAGGCTTAGTTTGAGGAAACATTGTCAGGGTTGATAGGAGACATAGATCCTAATTTCTTGTTTGTCACAAAAATAGCCCCAACCTCATTGAATGAACACCCCCCCCCCCCCCCCCTCTCCCCGAATGTGCCAAGGAAGGCAAATCCTGCAAAAGAATACGAATCTATGAATCTAGAACAATGTGCTCAGACTAAGATGTAAGAATGACTGTTTTTCTTCCTAAATCAGAAGTAAATACATGTACTGTAGGCCTACCACCATATCAAAGGTCGGATGACATCCAAATATAAGTTGATTCCTGTTGATGTGCAGAGCTGCATACAACTCATATTTTGTTTAATATTCAATTTCTAAATATATTTCATAGATTTTAAAATATTTTTAAAAATAATTTTCTCAGACCTGCTAAGCCCCACCCTAAAAAAGGCTCCAGATCACATTCATCTAGTGACATCATCTGTCAATCATTAGTGAGTTAACAAGAGACAGTGGTATGTAACTTCCCCTCAGCTCAGCACATGCTCTCAAAAGAAGTGCATTCTTTCATACAATACCTCCACATTACCTTTCTTTTCCTGGAGAAGGAGGATTCTGTGGCTGAGTAGCTTAAAGAGTGGGATTTGTGAAAGTGTAATCGATCTCAGGGAGAATGAATTACTTCATAGAATATGGGACAGAGCGTTGTGGCATTTCATGGTCGCTAAAGTCTCAGAAAAGGCACTTAGAGGACAAGAAGAAGATTGTAAACAGGTGGTCAGCTCTGGTGAAGCTACATACCCTAAACAATTCCATGGGACATGTTAAAAATCCTTGGTGACAGAGAAAGAATTCAACTTCATTTTTCTACCTTCTCTAGGAGGTCCACACAGTATTTCTTGACATCCATGTCTTCCGTTCTCTGCCTCAAGATGCTCATGACCTGGGTGTTCTCCGGTTGACTGCGGATACCATGGATGAGGGGGAACGAAAATTTCCCCTCGGTGAGATCCTCGCAGTAACTCTTGTTCTCTGTGTACTGTTTGGAGCAGAGGTTGGCATAGTCATCTCGAATCTGGAAGTACAGGCCTAGGATGTCACTCAAAGGCTTGAAATCACTAGAAAAAGAAAAAGAAAGAAACAGATATGTGAGATCCTCGCAGTAACTCTTGTTCTCTGTGTAATGCCTGGAGCAGAGGTTGGCATAGTCATCTTGAATCTGGAAGTACAGGCCTAGGATGTCGCTCAAAGGCTTGAAGTCACTAGGAAAGACAAAGAGAAAACAGATATGTGAGATCCTTGCAGTAACTCTTGTTCTCCGTGTACTGCCTGGAGAGGGTTAGATAAGATGGATAAATAGATGGATAAATCATAAATGGATAGGTAGGATTATAGCAAGATGGATGGAAAGATGGACAGAAAGAAGAATTGATAGATGGATGGATGAATGTATACATGGATGGATAGACAAGTAGAAAGATAGTTTATTAGTAAGATATAGAGAGATAGATAGACAAATAGATAGATAGACAGACAGATAGATAGACAGACAGATGAGAGATAGATAGACAAATAGATAGATAGACAGACAGATAGACAGACAGACAGATAGATAGATAAATAGATAGATAGATATAGATAGGCAGGCAGTGACACAGCTACCTATCTCAACATCATACAAGTCCACAAAATGTCTGACACATCTGTGGTACAATAGTCGATTTCAAACAGTATTCAGCAAATTAACCTACCTCTTGTTTTCACTAAAAAGTTGCATGAGCCTCACAGCTAACCCAAACAGACCTCCAGTTTCTGATATTCAAAGAAAGAGTAGAACAGTGAACATATCAGGATGGTGAACAGCAAAACACATGATAATTGCAATTTAAACATCATCTGATTTTGGCTTTCTATTCATTTTGCAATTCATTCTGATGAGTGTAAGACCAAACGCTTTGTTAAAGGTACATGTATAGACCAGTTTTGGAAACGCCCCCCTCTCAAAAAATGAAATGATAGCTCTTATTACCAATCATGTGAAAGAAAATGTTTTGACTTATACGTGATGATACAAATTTTGCCGGGAAACCGCCTACTAATTTATATTTTTGGTAAATTATCATATCGATCCGGACTGGATAGATATAGCGAAAGCACTTCAACATTGAACATTTGGGCATATATTTCTGTTTTTTTTGTGAATTCAGGTTGAAGTATACCATCTACCTCTGAAGACAATATTTAAACAATATTGAATGGGTATTTTGCACCCAAAACCCTTGAACCGGAATTTTACCACTACAGGTCTTTATCTTTAAGTCTGTATTTGTCGCTATTCCTCAATTCATTCAGTTTTCTAAGTTTTTACATTGAAGAACTTAAACTGATATATGATGATCAAAATAATTCGACCTTATAACAGAAGATAACCAGGCTATACATTTTGAGAAATTTTGTGTACAAAAAGAATTGGGCGAAAAGAAAAGATCTAAATGACAGAACATTATAGGTGGAAGATATGGCACCCTCCATTCAATCTTTAACCTTGTTACTGGTTATTTTACCTTCCAGTAAGACTAGTGTCCCACCCCAAACCCTGACACCAATGCTCCCTCACTGACTGGGGTAGTTGATTGTTACTACTCACTCTTGATGACCATCTCTTTATATTCTTCTTCTGTAGGGCAGGTGTAGGAGTCCCTCCAGTAGATGTCTGACACCAGTGCCCTCCCCCCCCCCCCTCCCCTTGACACCAATGCTCCCTCACTGCCTGGGGTAGTTGATTGCCACAACCGGTACTCACTCTTGATGACCATCTCTTTATACTCTTCTTCTGTAGGGCAGGTGTAGGAGTCCCTCCAGTAGATGTCCATCCCCTGGCCTTGATGTAATAATACTAGCTGCTCTGAAACCACAAAGAACAACCTTTCTTTATTGCAACCAACACTTGAGGTTAGATTTCAAATACAAGTAAATAATTATAATAATAATACTACTATGGATATTTATATAGCGCCGGTATCCGCCAGGCTCCGACGCTCATGGGGCTGTACATATTACAATCACGAACATATCACTTTCTTAGCTGAAGTAAAGGTAAACTAAAACAACACAATTGTTACGCCACAATTCTAATTGTCATTATTAAATAGAACTGTTTAGAAGAGATGGGTTTTTAGAGCAACCTTGAAGTCATGGAGGGCTATTAAACTATGAATACTAGGTGGTAGCTTTTCCAAAGGGACTGCCCAGAATGAGAAAAGGCTCTATCCCCCCCCCCCCCCCCCCCAGGAACTGCACGTTTTAGGGACAACTAATGTCTTGTAGGCTCATACTCATGTATATCATGAGTACTGCCATATTATATACTTACAAGATATGAAACCTCATCATGCCTTTGGTAACAAAAGACTTGTAAAGTAAACTTACATACAAAGACTACTTATAAGGGGAAACAAATCTGTCTTTGTAAAGGTGGTTCATGTACATTCCTTGGAAAATTAATTGTTTTCATATAAATCTCTCTTCAAGGGCAACAACTTTTTTTTCTTCTTTTTATAGAAATGTGGTCAGCAATTTGCAAAAACATGTTTGACGGATTGACATGTTTGATGGTATTTGCAGCACGACATAATTATGTCCAAATACAATAGATGAATGATAACACTTGACCTATAACCTCTCATATCTTCTTCGGCAGAAAAAGTACCGGTATGGTTTACTTTACTATTTAATAAGGTGTCGACAAAATCATTTTTTAAATATCTAACCTGTGAATATTTTCATGGCATCAGGATGATCAAACTGCATGACTTCTTTAAGTCCTAGGAAGTACATATAGTTGGCAGAGTTGATGGTTTGTGCTATACCGTAGATACTGTGTGCTACTGGAATGCCTCGTCGAAGCTTGGAACTGTCCTCTATATCGTCTATTCTGTAAGAATAATGCAAAACGTCATAATCATTTAATTTACCATATCAAATTTTCTTCCATAATAGTACATTATACAAATATTGACTGAAATAACTGAAAGAGAGGTGCTGTGGCCTGGAGGTTCTTAGACACTTGCTCTGTTGAAAAGTTGCCCCTTAGCCGATATATTTCTCTAACTAAATTTTTAACGTCGACCCTGGAATCCCTTTCCAGATCGAGTGTCTTAGCCTTGAGTTAGGGTATTGTGTATAAAGACAAAGAGGTAGCAAACTAGCAACCATACAAAGTATTCTTCAATATATGTTGAGAGAATACTAAGTTTTTCGAAAATGAATAAATAAATCAACTTTCCTAGAGAGAAGACTTAAAGCCCCTCTGTTCTAGTTTGGCCAGTACGGATTAGGCCTCCTACCATGGTCACCGACAGGTGGTTATCTCATCAAATCAGCTCCCAATTAAAATATGAAAAAAGGGGATCATGGGGGACCAATGGTCACCGATTAGGCATTGTTTGCTATATAGAGGGCGCAATAAGCTATAAGTAGTGCAGTGGGGCTTTAAGCTTTCCTATTAAAGTAGAGAAAATACTTACAATAGACTTGCGTTATGCAGCATCTGAACCACCTCACTGATCTTTTTTATGTTATCTTCAGGAATGTCCATCCAGCAGTTGAATGCCTAGACATGGAGGAAAGATAACATACTTAGGAAATAGATGAGTAAATAACTCAAAAAACATGAGTATCATTGTCAATCTATTGACTGGCACACATACATGTAATGTGAAGAACTATAATCAATTATGTAAAATTGCGCTAAAAAATGATCATGAAGTGCCTCAAAAAAGTAAAAGTCTTTGAGTGACCGGTTTTACCATACTTGTTTTCCCAATAGACTGTAGTGTTATGAAAACGCAAAATTTGGTTTTGATTTCTAATAATAAATATCTTCATAATCAGACAGGAGATCGGCTTGAAAAAGTCATGGGGTTCCTGACTAACTTAAAGGTATATAATTATCATTGCAGCATGAGCTAAATCCAGGATTTGTTTCAGAATCTGAGACAAAGTTACAGTATCCCTTTAAGCAAGGCTTGTGTTTTTGTAAACTACAAACAACAGAAATCCTACCCTTGAGAGTTTTGTTCGAACTTGTTTTCCTGGAACCTGTAAAATGTAGTTGTATGGCTCCATCAGTATCTGGAAGAGAAAGAAAATGAACAAAATGATTACAAGAAGACACAACAGATACAACTTCTTTGATCCTGAAAGCAATAGATACAAATGTTTGTGGCACAGGCAACATTTCAAGATTCATTTTCTAAAATGTAGCTATAACATCAAGCCGTTCAAACAACACTGAATGCAGGAGTTGTAAAGATGTTAGATGTGGACAATCAAGGAAAGCTTACCATTTCCTGCTTTTTCTCTCTGATGAGTGCTGATTGGTTTTCAGTAACATCATCTTTTGGTGAGCTGCTTTCCGCCATATTTTCTCAACTACCAAAAGTTAGTGCGTGACTGCAGTTAAGACAAGAGATAGAAAACTTTCAATAAGCAAATATTTCTGCATAAAAATTAATCAAATACAAGTACTATTAACAAAACTTTTGGTTTGAAAGTCAGCTTTTACTCATGCAAATGATTATGATGTAAATAGTAAAATTGAACCTGTTGTGAAAATTTTCAACCAGTTTGAGTGAAATTAAGCCTCAAAATCTCCTTTGGTAATTCAGGATAAAAAGGACTACCGGTATCTATAGTATTATTAAATTTTTAGCCAAGAGAATCGCAATCATGAATTTGTCTCTTATATCATGGTTTTGTAAAACAGGTTTCCCGGTCTCTGACATCCCTGTAGGTCACAAACACAGATACGACTGTCATGGATGGAGTTGGTTTCATGAAACGACCCCCTATTAATGTACAAACATAATTTTGCGGACAAGCTGGGCTACTGGTAGACAGAAATAACCGTCTGGTACTATGGGTAATTCTTTGATAGAACTGACATTTGTCAACCTACGGGTGGTCAGTGGAGCCAAACATAGTCTCAGCGTTGATATCATCATCATTATCACTTGTCAGAAGGTTGCGCTTGAGGTCTAGGCTCCCAGGGGCCGTTTCTTAAATTTCCAAACTGCCCTAACTTCACAAGTCTAAATTATAAATCCTAAATAGTAAATTTACAAGTACTGTATAGCCGTTTGTTAGATCTACTACCATGACTACTACTTCTAGTATAAGACTTACTTACCTACTAACACGATGTTGTAGGTTTAAGCCGGTTCATCGATCCAGGATTCTTCCCTATTTACTGCTATTTGTGGAGGGAGATTGTATGCAAAACATGAGACAGCAGACAACACCTAGAGGCTAGACCGGCTCATACATGTACGTACAGGACATCTTTGACCAGTGACTATAAAGTCTATTTGTATACGAGTTGACCGACCCAGCTGCCACAACGTTTCCTGGGAGACCGCTCCACAGCTCCACAACTCTATTGCTAAATTCCTAAAAAATTGTTTTCTAATAACTAGCCTTAAATTAAATATGGAATTAAAGGTAATACAAAGTTTTGGTATGGGGTCATGAATTAATTGGTACAAATGAACACATTGGAGGCATATGCGGTCCTACAATATTCAGTTATCGTTCTCGCAGTTGAAATGGAGTCTAAAGTTATGAAATTGTGAATAATAAACTCTTCATGCTGTATAGCTCCCTCTCAAGGTCAAGATATTAATCAAGTCATAAAACAATGTTTCTCGATCGATCGATTTGCTATTTCCGTTTGGAAAATTATATATCACAACTAGTCAACTACATAAATGTATTCTGAGATTTTCATGGTTGCAGCTACAATTGTATGGCCGTAAGCGCCATTTGAAATTTATCAAAATTTACCGGGAGCACTGGTAAATTTTGATATTCAATTTTACTCAATAGCAGAAGTTTTTAGGTTTAAGGGCTAAATTTGTTGGTGCTTATAATACATCCACAGGGGCATCCAAACATATCACAATTGTAAAAAATCACCATCCAGCCAATTTCAAAATTTCCCAAAACTTTGTATTACCTTTACCTAGTCTAGCCGCTGCCTATTGCCGTGATTGCCATTAAAGTGACTCGGTAATATTCTTAAAGGTTGATGAAAAAACTTCGTAATTTATGATGAAGTGTTACTTCTCGTATTCCTTTTAGTACTAACCCTCTTGCATGCAAAAATCCTGAAAAAATCTCAAATTACATAGATATTTATGGTTTTCTTTGAAGGTGTGACTGGTCACCTTCTAACAGTAAATTCTCTCAACCATTTTTGAATTTACCCAACTGTTTTTTCTATGAAAATAAGACATAAGACAGGGCTGTCAACTTTGGGGAACTACTTTGAGGGAGATCGTATGCAATTCTTTTTGGCTACGAGCTGGTGGGACGGCGGGAGAATGAGCGTGGTTGCGTGAGACTCCCTCCAAATCAAAGCAGGAGGGTTGACAGCCCTGCATGAATAAGACAGGATTTTAAAATCTTTCAAAACTTGGAATGATATACTTAGAGTCTAGAGCAAATTCATAGCTATGTTAAGATTTAATTTGACTAAAATTGGAATAATATAGTTGGGAGAATTAGGGAATCAGTTTAGTATTGCCCAATTTTTATCGTTAATAAAAAAAAATGATGGTCCATTTTCTCTCAAACTTTCAGATTATTTTACATCTTCTATCTAGCATTGAAGTCACGTCACAACCTTACTCCTTACTACTTAGCACCATTTTCTCTCATCTGAACAATGTTATCAAGTTGTACTTAGACTAGATCTACTACAGTTTCGAGAAAATGTGCCCCGATCTCTTCGTCAGTTCAGCTCCGCAGCCCCACCCACGGAGCTACACTACACTCTGATCTTCAAATCATATTAGGTCTATGACTCACGAGACTTCAACTTCCCAATTCAAAACAATACAACAATGTCAACGTATGGGACTGAAATTAATTCTGGTTAAATAATTTGAGTGACAAGAAAGACTGCATAATAAACAACTCAAGGGCTTACCAATTTATAGAACAACGAAGGCATATACTGTCACAGATAAGGTTGATTTTTGTCTCAAAGGTAGCAAAATATCAATGTAAACCATTAAAATCTTCAAAAAATCTGAACAGCGGGCTGGCATATTATTGGGTGACTTTACTATAATGTAGACCTTCTACTTTCTAGGCCTTACACGTAGAAAGTCGGTACACTTTAGCATCATACATGCAGTGGGTAGCATATATTGGCACCAAGATTAACGGCGATATGAATATTCATTATTCCCTACGTCACAGACGTGCGGCGTGCGTACTCTGTCTATGGATCTGTCTTATACACAGGTACATGTACTGTACTAGTACAAGAGTACGTTCGCAAGCATTACTACATACATTGCTCCGGAATGAAGAGAATCATTATAAAGGACGAATTACTCCGTGAAGCCAAGTACAAGCAGGGAATTGAAAATAGCAAACGTTCCTCGGAGCGGCTATACAATCCCTAATCTAGCTAGTTTTGTAATGACAGAAAATGGACATTTAGTAGGCCTACTGTTTAGTTGTTCAATAAAATCACTCAGTTTGATTTAATTCGAGATATATCATTAATAAAACAGTATAAAGGCTGTATGAGTCTCGGACGAACCATCGCCACTAATCTTGGTGCCAACACCGTTAATCTATGCTCCAAATTTAGTAATACATTTTGTGTGCCCTATAATGACCCGGGGTTGGATTATTTAGGAGAACATAAGATTGATATTGTTAAGTTGTTTCATAACATCTCTCAGTTTGATTTGATTCGAGATATATTTCATTAATAAAACAGTATAAAGGCTCTATGAGTCTCCAAGAACGATCGCCACTAATCTTGGTGCCAACACCGTTAAACTATGCTCCAAATTTAGTACTACACTAATATACCTTTTTTGTGCCCTATATGCTAAAGACCCATGCAGGGTTGGATTCTTTAGGAGAATGGAAGATTGATATTGTTGTTTCATAACATCATTCAGTTTGATTTGATTCGAGATATATCTCATTAATAAAACAGTATAAAGGCTCTATGAGTCTCACACGAACGATCGCCACTAATCTTGGTGCAAACACCGTTAATCTATGCTCCAAATTTAGTAATACATTTTGTGTGCCCTATAATGACCCGGGGTTGGATTATTTAGGAGAACAGAAGATTGATATTGTTAAGTTTTTTCATAACATCACTCAGTTTGATTTGATTCGAGATATATCTCATTAATAAAACAGTATAAAGGCTGTATGAGTCTCGGACGAACCATCGCCACTAATCTTGGTGCCAACACCGTTAATCTATATGCTCCAAATTTAGTAATACATTTTGTGTGCCCTATAATGACCCGGGGTTGGATTATTTAGGAGAACAGAAGATTGATATTGTTAAGTTGTTTCATAACATCACTCAGTTTGATTTGATTCGAGATATATCTCATTAATAAAACAGTATAAAGGCTCTATGAGTCTCCAAGAACGATCGCCACTAATCTTGGTGCCAACACCGTTAAACTATGCTCCAAATTTAGTACTACCTTTTTTGTGCCCTATATGCTAAAGACCCATGCAGGGTTGGATTCTTTAGGAGAATGGAAGATTGATATTGTTGTTTCATAACATCATTCAGTTTGATTTGATTTGAGATATATCTCATTAATAAAACAGTATAAAGGCTGTAATATGAGTCTCGAACGAACCATATCGCCACTAATCTTGGTGCCAACACCGTTAAACTATGCTCCAAATTTAGTAATACATTTTGTGTGCCCTATAATGACCCGGGGTTGGATTATTTAGGAGAACAGAAGATTGATATTGTTAAGTTGTTTCATAACATCACTCAGTTTGATTTGATTCGAGATATATCTCATTAATAAAACAGTATAAAGGCTGTATGAGTCTCGGACGAACCATCGCCACTAATCTTGGTGCCAACACCGTTAATCTATGCTCCAAATTTAGTAATACATTTTGTGTGCCCTATAATGACCCGGGGTTGGATTATTTAGGAGAACAGAAGATTGACATTGTTAAGTTGTTTCATAACATCTCTCAGTTTGATTTGATTCGAGATATATTTCATTAATAAAACAGTATAAAGGCTCTATGAGTCTCCAAGAACGATCGCCACTAATCTTGGTGCCAACACCGTTAAACTATGCTCCAAATTTAGTACTACCTTTTTTGTGCCCTATATGCTAAAGACCCATGCAGGGTTGGATTCTATAGGAGAATGGAAGATTGATATTGTTGTTTCATAACATCATTCAGTTTGATTTGATTCGAGATATATCTCATTAATAAAACAGTATAAAGGCTCTATGAGTCTCACACGAACGATCGCCACTAATCTTGGTGCAAACACCGTTAATCTATGCTCCAAATTTAGTAATACATTTTGTGTGCCCTATAATGACCCGGGGTTGGATTATTTAGGAGAACAGAAGATTGATATTGTTAAGTTGTTTCATAACATCACTCAGTTTGATTTGATTCGAGATATATCTCATTAATAAAACAGTATAAAGGCTGTATGAGTCTCGGACGAACCATCGCCACTAATCTTGGTGCCAACACCGTTAATCTATATGCTCCAAATTTAGTAATACATTTTGTGTGCCCTATAATGACCCGGGGTTGGATTATTTAGGAGAACAGAAGATTGATATTGTTAAGTTGTTTCATAACATCACTCAGTTTGATTTGATTCGAGATATATCTCATTAATAAAACAGTATAAAGGCTCTATGAGTCTCCAAGAACGATCGCCACTAATCTTGGTGCCAACACCGTTAAACTATGCTCCAAATTTAGTACTACCTTTTTTGTGCCCTATATGCTAAAGACCCATGCAGGGTTGGATTCTTTAGGAGAATGGAAGATTGATATTGTTGTTTCATAACATCATTCAGTTTGATTTGATTTGAGATATATCTCATTAATAAAACAGTATAAAGGCTGTAATATGAGTCTCGAACGAACCATATCGCCACTAATCTTGGTGCCAACACCGTTAAACTATGCTCCAAATTTAGTAATACATTTTGTGTGCCCTATAATGACCCGGGGTTGGATTATTTAGGAGAACAGAAGATTGATATTGTTAAGTTGTTTCATAACATCACTCAGTTTGATTTGATTCGAGATATATCTCATTAATAAAACAGTATAAAGGCTGTATGAGTCTCGGACGAACCATCGCCACTAATCTTGGTGCCAACACCGTTAATCTATGCTCCAAATTTAGTAATACATTTTGTGTGCCCTATAATGACCCGGGGTTGGATTATTTAGGAGAACAGAAGATTGACATTGTTAAGTTGTTTCATAACATCTCTCAGTTTGATTTGATTCGAGATATATTTCATTAATAAAACAGTATAAAGGCTCTATGAGTCTCCAAGAACGATCGCCACTAATCTTGGTGCCAACACCGTTAAACTATGCTCCAAATTTAGTACTACCTTTTTGTGCCCTATATGCTAAAGGACCCATGCAGGGTTGGATTCTATAGGAGAATGGAAGATTGATATTGTTGTTTCATAACATCATTCAGTTTGATTTGATTCGAGATATATCTCATTAATAAAACAGTATAAAGGCTCTATGAGTCTCACACGAACGATCGCCACTAATCTTGGTGCCAACACCGTTAATCTATGCTCCAAATTTAGTAATACATTTTGTATGCCCTATAAAGACCCGGGGCTGGATTGTGTAGGAGAACGGATGATTGATATTGTAAAGTTGTTCCATAACATCACTCAGTTTGATTTGATTCGAGATCTTTCTCATTAATAAAACAGTATAAACGCTGTACAAGTCTCAAACGAACCATCGCCACTAAACTTTGTGCCAACACCATTAAACTATGCTCCAAATTTGGTTATACATTTTGTGTGTCTATAAAGACCGAGGCTTCCCAGGATCATTTAAGAGAATGGAAGATTGATATTGAGAAGTTGTTCGATAACATCACTCAGTTTGATTTGATTGCGCATTATGTCTCTTAATAATGGTGTAAAAGTCTCTAAAGAGAAGAAAATAAAGAGAGAAAGAGAGAGAGAGAGAGAGAGAGAGAGAGAGAGAGAGAGAAGAAAAAGATGTGAAAGGGAAAGAGGAGAGAAAGGAAAAGAAAGAAGAGGAAAAAGAAAAGAAAAAGGGGAGGGGAAGAAAGAGATCAGGGGGAGGGGGGCCGAAATGGGCCTTGCCTCCCATGATGTTACTTCCACTCCCCCCTCCAGCAAAACAAAAAGAGAGAAGAAGGAAAGGGAAAGCAAAAAGGAAAAGAGGAGATAACGGAAAGGAAAAAAAAAAGAGGAAGAAGATAAGAAAAGAAGGGGAATATCAGTTACTATTTTTTCCGCCAACAAGTTGTGGATCCGGGGGGGGGGCAAAAGGCCCTTGCCTCTTCCCCCCCCCCTCCCCCACCGCCAAAAAGAAGGGGGAAAAGGGGAAGGGAAAGAGGAGAGCTAAAAGGGAACAAAAAAAAGGAAGCGGGGGGGGGGGGGGTAAGAGGACACCTTTTTGGGGGTCTCGAAATTTGAAAATTTGACATTTTGTTCCGTAGGGGGGGGGGGGGTGTTGAGGTCACCTTTTTTAGGACAGCCATTGGCATAATTAAAAAAATAATTAAAAAGGGGGGGGGGTTGCTCCAAGATACACACATAACAAAAAACCGAACAGGGGGAGGTTCAACCCAAAATCCCCCCCCCCCTCCGTACGCGCCTGCTCTTCTGATTACAGTTTTCGACTCTTAATTCTCGTTTGTTTTCAGTCCCCCCCCCCTCCCGCGCGAAGCGCGGAAGCTTTTACGTTTCATTAAATCTTTAGAGAAAGAAGACGATTTGTTGTACCGTTCCCGACTCTTAATCCACACCTCCTGCGCCAAGCGCGGAAGCTTTGACATTTAATTTAATTATTAGAGAAACAAGACGATTTTGATACCTTGTCCGCCCCCGGAAACTCATGGGTTGAAGGAAAATTACGGTCAGATAAGTATTCAGGGGCCCGCCTCAGGGCCCCTGGTGGGGTCGAGGGTGCGGAAACCCCTGAATCTCAGGGGTTTCAGGCATTTGATTACGGTCAGATGAACATAATTTTTATACCTTATTTGTGAAACTGGCAGGACACTGATTTGCGTGAGGTCCAGCGAGCG